AAAAAAAATGCAAAAATGTCCTCAGGTGAGGATTAACCAAAACAAACAAACAAACAAACACCCATCCCCAGTGTGATTATTGAAGGAGCATATGAAGTATTTGTTAAATGAACGAGAAGGGAAGGGGCTTTGCTTTTTTAACTGTTTTTAGCAACTTTGCAAGCCACAAGGTTTATTTTTATTTTTTAAATATATTTGATTGATTTTTTACGGAGAGAAAGGGAGAGGAATAGAGAATTAGAAACATCAATCAGCTGCCTCCTGCACACCCCCCACTGGGGATGTGCCCGCAACCAAGATACATGCCCTTGACCGGAATCGAACCTGGGACCCCTCAGTCCACAGGCCGACACTATCCACTGAGCCAAACCGGTTAGGGTCAAAGGATTTATTTTTTATTTTAATTTTTATTGATTGATTATTTTAGAGAGAGGAAGGGAGCGAGAGAAACACCAGTGTGTTGTTCCACTTATTATGCTCTCCTTGGTTGCTTCTGTGTCCTGACCAGGGATCCAACCTGCAATCTTGCTGTATCAGGAGGAGGTTCTAACCCAGTGGTCGGCAAACTGTGGCTCGCGAGCCACAGTTTGCCGACCACTGTTCTAACCCATTGTGCTGTGGGCTGCCTGTCAGGGCCCCTCAACAAAACCCCTCTGGGTGCCCAGACCCCTGCTCTGGGTCGGAGCTCCTCTGCCGCAGCAAAGGTTTGGGTTCCATTCTGTCAGGGCACCTACTTAGGTTTCGGGTTTGATCCCCGGTCGGGGCTGACTGCTGCTCAAGAAGTGACCGAGCACCATTGAGGTCCATGTGCTCTAGTCATTTGGTGGGGAACTGGGGTTCCATTGCTGACATGGCCGACTCTGATCCCCGCTGCCCCCGCTCTTCCATCGAGGGCAACTTCAACTATGGCAGCTGCGTGGCCTTGGGGTAGAGCGCCCTCTCTGCGGCTCGCCAGGCCTGGCTGCTGCTGCACAGTCGCCCGGGAGGCAGATTTCCGGGTTCCCAGGGAGAGCGCCCTCCTCGCCAGACTCCCAGGGAGAGCGGGTCCCGGAGAGAAAACACTTTGCCTCCCTTTGGGGCTCCCTGGCGGAGCAGAGCGCCCATCCTGCGCAGGGCTCAGAGGGGAGAGCCGCCCCAGGGAGTCCTCCTAGCTGGGTGTGAGAAAACCTGGAGCGCTTCCTCCTTGAACCCAGTTGTCTTCAGGCATGTGAACGCATTTTATTTTATTTGACGCAGCCTTACATGCCCGGCCTCCTGCAGCACGCAGCCACGCCCACCCACTCCTGCCAGACCTTACCCATGAAGGCATCCTGGCTAATTAGCATATTCTTCTCTTATTATATAGGATAGATGTTTATATAAACATATCAATATACATATATATTGATTGATTGATTGATTGATTTGAGAGTGAGGGGGAAAGAGAGAGAGAAACATTGACTGGCTACCTCCCACTCATGCCCCTACTGGGGATTAAAACTGCAACCCAGGTTTGTGCCCTGACCAGGAATTGAACCAGTAGCCAATTCCTGGTTCAATGCTATACAGGATGATGCTCAACCCATCGAGCCACCCACTGTCAACTCTGGCTACACAATACAATCATCTAGAGGACTTTTAAAAAATGCAGATGCTTGGACTCTACCCCCTTAGTTTTTATTTAATTGGTCTGAGTGAGACCCAGCATAAATATTTTGAAAAATCACCCAAGTGCACAAACTGCAGCCAGGGTTGAGAACCACAATGCTAGGTAGGCTATGCCACAGTTATAGGCCCACTCAGTAAGGAATACCTTCTTCGGGGATGTGATGACAGATGAGGTTTAACAACATTCCCTTTCTCCATGGTTACCTCGGAATTGGCACAAAGAACAAACTCGGTCTGTCTATGTGGGGTGTTCTAGAAGTGTGTTGAAGAAATGTCTATTTCTCCCAGCCAGCGTGGCTTAGTGGTTGAGCGTCAATTGCCAGTCAGGCCACATGCCTGGGTTGCAGGCTCAATCCCCAGTGTGGGGCATGCAGGAGGCAGCCAGTCAATTATTCGCTTTCATCATTGATATTTCTATCTCTCTCTCCCTCCCCATTCCTCTCTGAAACCAATAAAAATATATTTTTTAAAAGAAATGTCTCTTTCATATGTCTCTTTTATAAGCATCTTCATAAATTTGTATTTTTTTTGTTTTTCTCCTTGTTATAACTGTAGTTTATTAATGATAATAACCAAACTAGAATCACTAAACATGGAAAGTGACTCATATTCTATTTGTACTCAGTGGTAAATAATTTGAAATATTTATATTGAAGCAAACAGGGAGATATTATAGGATGAAATATACATTTCTTGTGAATTGTAAAGATAACAAATAAGACTTCAAAGAAACTGTGTGCTTTTAGTGGACACTTCAGGCGATGCCCCCAGCCTCCTAGTGCAATGGATTTATTCTCCGCCTGCCCTTGGGACTAGTTTAGAAGGAACGTTTGAGGAGCACCGAGCCAGTGGAATTATTTGAAATGTGACACCCTTAATTGACTTGGTTTCAAATCCTCCACAGTTGGAGCATCTTGGCTTAGCTCAAATGCTAGAAATACTATAACATTTGTCACTTCAATCCCAGCCAAGGGTCAAATGCAGTATCACAAATAGAAGCCAAAATAAATTCTGAAAGTCATTTTTGTGGTTGACTTAACTTTATTCACACGGTAGCTGTGACAGGGGCTGACAAAGACTTCCTCTAACATTTCTTTCTTCTGGCGGGATGATTTAAAGTTTGGTTGCAGACAGTGTGGGTTGGAGGGATGTGTGGTGAGACAGGTTAGGGGCTTTTTATAATTCTACATCATCATGAATCCAGTTTCCTTTTAACCTTGTGGCTTAGCTAACACATTTGCCATAAGCGTTGGGGAATAAATCTAATGTTGACTGGCAAACTCTCGGCAGCCCTTGAGAGCAGCATCTTTAGAGAACACACAATTGATCCTAACACGGGAGGCGCCTCAGAGGTGGTGTGTGCAGGTCAGAAGTGCCTTAGGGTGCCAGGAAAGGCATCCCATTACAGCAGTGGGATCTCAGGACATACAGCAGGCAGCTCTGGAGCGTTGCAGTCAATCCCTGGAGAGTGGCATGCCGTCTCAGGACTGATAGGACCGCACAAGGAGCCACATAAGGATAACCGTGACCAGGACCACAGTGAAGTTGAGACACAGCTCCCGGGCAGACAGATCCATTCTCAGAGTGGCTCAGTGAGAACCGAAGGCAGACTTCTTCAGACGCACCAAAGACCTCCTGCTGGTCCTCACCCCCTAACAGAAAGTAACAAAGAAAGCATGGGAATATCAATGAGCATTCCTTCCTCAAAGGAAGCAGAAGCACTGTGAAAGACGATGGTGCTTTGGCCTGCATTGTGTCTCCCCAAAGTTCACATGTTCAAGCCCTAACCCCCAATATCTCAGAGTATAGCTGTATTTAGAGATCAGGTCTTTCAAGAAGTAATTAACTTAAAATTAAGTCATTCAGATGAGTCCTAACCCAATATGACCAATGTCTTTATAAGAAGAGGAGACTAGGACACAGACATGCATAGAGGGAAGACCAGGGAAGGCAGGGAGAAGATGGCTATCTGCAAGCCAACGAGAGAGGCCTCAGAAGAAATCAGCTCTTCAACACCTTGATCTCAGATTTCCAGCCTCCAGACTCTATCTTCGGACTCTGGTTGTAACTCTACCTTGGGTCCCCAGCCTGCCCACCTACCCTGCAGATTTCGGACTTGCCAGCCTCCACAATCACATGAGCCATATAAATAACATCCTATTCGTCCTGTTTCTCTAAGACTCCTGACTCATACAGACAGACTGCCTTTGCTGCCTGATGTCAAAAAAGACCAATATAGTTCTGATTTTTTTCCCCTGTAATGATTGTATTGATATTTTTGATAAAATAAAAATAGTACATTTTTCTCTCTCCAATTTCTGTGTTTGTGTGTGTATGTGTACGTGTGTGCTTGCCTTGCTAACTTAGAGTACCAGCCAGCAAAGCCACCAAAACTGAAAAAAAAGGTTATGTTTTAGTATTTTTCTTGCTTTGAATTACATATAGAAGTAGGATACCGTAATTTTGCAGATTTCAGGCTTCATCTAACCCTGTTGAAAGTATGAGGTAGTTTCAACATCTGCTTTGCCTTTTATAAGCACTGCTTTGGGCACAGAACCTACCAGAGTCAACCCAAAGTCCCTCACATAACAGGCACTCAATCCAAAGAGCAAGTGTTAACCTCATGGCTACTTCTGTTTCAACAAGGGCTTGTGCCAGCTATTTTTAGTGAGGTCTAGGATGTACCTAGATTGTAAACACTTCAAAGAGCAGGAACTGTATCTTTATGGTTTGCACATATAGTGCACTTAGGAAATCATACTTTGAGAACATATGCAATGCAGTCCATCAAAATGTTACCTTTAGTGGTGTGGCATGATTGATAATTTGTGTATGCAAAATTAAAGATGAAAGATAATCTTGAAGATACTTAGGACAAAATTTCCCATAGAGTGAAAATGTTTAAAGGGGAAGAGTGTTCTTTTATTTGCTAAAGGTGGAAGTTCAGGGGGGCAGAAAGGATTGTTAGCAAGTTTTTGGCCTGACCATCTAATCTGACTGAATTATTCATTGTAATTATTGTATTTGTTGTATTATTCGTGGATCAAATGATTAATGGTATAAACCAGCTGAATGACCATTTTTCATATCATTTCATTGTTAGTATAAAACACAAGTTCAAATCAGATGGTGCCAACTAGTAGGTTGTTGAATCTTAGTTAAAATATGGCTAGTGATGATTGATTTATGTTTCATTTTCTTCTTAATTATTACCCATCTTTTGGCCCTCCACATGAAGGACATAGTAAATTGCCAATGAAAATCTTTATACAAATACTTTAGAAAGTAAACAGAAGATAATAAATGGATGAGAAAGCAGAGAGGATGTGTAAGAACGTACACAAGAGCAGAGGGGAACAGGAACGTGATGAATCCAAGCAGGGAGCCTGGAGGCAAAGGCATGAGAATAAAAGACAGACTTTTCCTTATGAATTTATTAATAAAATAAAATCCTGGCCCAAATGCCCACTCATGTGGGTAAGTTCTGAAGAAATACAGAGATATGCAAAAATATGAGTCTGTTTCTAATGATTAAAACAATTCATGGAGGGCAAAATAACTGTCCCACCAAATCTGCCTTAGATTAAGCTCTTAAATAAAGAGGATCATGGAGCATGGCCCAACAAGAACATTCTGAGAAGAAAAAAAAAGTATATGATTGTCTAACCACTGTGCTGTACACCTGAAACTAATACAAAATACTATTGAATGTAAACTGTAATTGAAAAATAAAATTTTAAAAATAAAATAAGAAATATGTATACTTTTAAGGATTCCAATATTTATTGCTAAATTTTCCTCTTACATTTTTTTCTAGTTTATATACCACTAGTGTAGGAAAGAGCTAGTTTTCCTATATCAAAATAAACATTAGTGATTTATTTTATTTTACCTTAAACAATTAAGTAAATTAAAAAATATAGTATACCCAGGAAATTTTTATTACTGTGCCAATTAAATATTTTCCATGTGTTAAAAAAAAAAAAGAACATTCTGGGAAAATGTTATTGAAAGTTGTCCACAGCTTTTGGTATGTGACCTTCACAACAACTCTGTGACCTTCTCAGAACTCAGGCAAGTGTTATTGTCATTATTCTCTCTTAGATTACAGGTAAGAAATTGGCTTTTTGAGAGAGGTTGAGTTGTGTAGTAACATATAGTAAGTTAGAGGCAGAGGTAGAGCTGGCAGATTGAAAGTAGTTGCTAGAACTGTGATTATTTCTATAGAAGTGATTACAAGAATAAGTTACTACTGCAATTAACTGCCCTCACTAAACAAAGTTAGTGTAAATTTTCAACCACTTTGAGAAAACAATGTGACTTTTTTTATTGAAGTTGTACATGCTCATTCCCTATTATCCAGTGATTCACTTTTACTCTAGAAAACTCAAGCTCATATGAGCCAGGATGGTTATACAAGGATGTTCACAGCAACATTTTCACAATATCCCCACCCTGGAAACAACTCAAATGTTTATCAACAGTAGAATGGATGATGAATGGTGTTCTACTCATATACCTGAATGCTACAGAGTTAAGAAAATATATGAATTATAACAATACTCAACAAAATGGGTAGATCTCATAAATATGATTGTTATGCAAAAGAAGAATTTACAAAAGAAACATAGAATATGATTCCATTTATCCCAAGTCAAAAACAGGGAACTTCATCATATTGTTTAGGAATGCACATATAGATGATAAAAATATAAAGAGAAGCATGGACAAGATGATCTCAACAATCAAGATTGTGATTACACATGGTAGGGCAAAGAGGGGGAGGTGACCAGGAATAGACTTTTGGGGTACTGACAATGATCTGTTTCTTAATCTGGGTGGTAGTTGTATAGGTGTTGCCTTAAAATTATTGTCAAACTGTATGTTTTATGCACTCTTCACATTTTTTTCAGTAGTCTCTGAATTGAAAGGCTACCCACCATACTTCTTGAATACCTGTGAATTACCTCTTACTCTTTCTTGTACTTTGATGGTGGTCTTAAATATTTGGGATTTTTAAAGTAGATTTTAAATGAACAAAACACAGAGTTAAGGTGAGAATTTCAAATGAATCAACTCAATCAACACGTGCTCATTGTAAGGGGTGGACTTGATTTAACTTTCACACACATTAATACCAAGGTCAGGCAGAAATTCAGACCAGCAACCTTCATTTTTCTGCTGTTAAGCCGCAAAGACTATTTTGACTTTTTTAAAATTCTTTTTTAAGTTGATTTTAGAGAAAGAGGAAGGGAGAGAGAGAGAGAGAGAGAGAGAGAGAGAGAGAGAGAGAGAGAAACATCAACCAGTTGCCTCCTGTACCGGCCTTGACTGGGGATTGAACCCACAGCCTAGGTATGTGTCCTCACCAGGAATTGAACCTGCAACCTCTCAGGGTACAGGCCAATGCTCCAACCAGCTGAGCCCCCCTGGCCAGAGCTTGGCTTTATTTTAAAATTTCCCTGGAGTCAAGATTACACCATATGATCCAAAGTGATTGCTATATGGATGAAATAAAAACCGAAAATGCATATCATGAAGTGAAAAAAGGAAAACAAGAATCAATACTATTCACTTTATAGCTTAAGAAATACCATGTACAATAAGCATTGTCTATTTCATTAAGAAATGTAAATATTCCTCTGCCTTTCTCATTTGCACCTTGTAACACACACACACACACACACACACACACACACACCTAAGAATCTTGCTATTCCCGAAGAGGGTCAAGAATGTACCTGCTGTGGTAGGCTTCTCCTCTCTCCCCCTCTCTCTCCTCTCTCTGACTCAGGCTCCAACCTGCTCGTCTTCTGGGCCGACTGGACTTCTGGACTCTGGGCAGGGCCTAAAGTAGTCCCAGGGAGGTGGCAATTACTGTGATGTCACTGATGAAACATCTCAGAGGAACAACCTCCAAAGGTTTGAGGCTATTTGTGTTTAGGGGGACATGGAAATATGTTCACTAAGACTCAGTTCCACTAATACCAATTTGTATTAACACCCCCGAGACTTAAAATCTTTTCTTTACAGTTGACGTTTGTTACCATTGATGCAGGTTTTTAATTTATCTTTTACATCTTCATGAATATCTTTAACACATTTTTAAAACATCATAAACCACGATGATAGACTAATGTCAACAAACCAGCACTGCATTTGGCTCCTCCCGTAGTCGGCAGGTGAGGGTGTGAAATGGGACTTCATTTCACTACCCATTTCTTTAGCTATTTGAAGTCTGAAGAGTTCTTGCTTTGCACATGCACACCCCAAACCACACACACACACACACACACACACACACACACACACACACACACCAAAATTCAACAGGCATCTTTAGCTCCTTCAACACTGACTTTAGTCCAAGCAGTGAAAGTTATCTCCTCAGTCACCTGCTCCGCATACCTTTCCAGCTAAGCTGTATGTTGCAAGTTTACACATTAATATAGTTTCATCTAAAACAGCTGTGGAAGCCATGGTCTATATATCACTGTCAGTAAACTAATACAGCAGTAAATTCATACAGCAAAACTCAGTCACTTGGATAGATCGGAGGTAGAAGGAGAGCTGGCCAAAACTAGTGAAAACACATAAGTTATAGAATATAGATTGGAAAGAAATAGAATTGTGTAACTTTCAAATATAAACACCGACTAAAACTAGACTGTTAAGATCAGTTTGTAACCAACATTCCAGATTCCAGATGTCCGGAGGTGAACAGAGTCTCTGAAGTGTTTAACTCGACTCAAAAGCACATCAAAGACATATGTAAAACTTTAGACAATGAAAGAAAGAAAGAAAGAAAGAAAGAAAGAAAGAAAGAAAGAAAGAAAGAAAGAAAGAAGAGAAAAAAGAAAAGTAAGGAGACAATGCAAAAAAAAAAAGCACTTTAAAACATGACCCCCCAAATTGTGTTTGTTCAGCAGATCCTTTCTTTCTAGATAATAGAGCAAAAGTCCGCTCTGAATTCCCAATTAGGGTCAATCAAAACAATGCATTCCCAAAAGGCATAAACAAACACAACTCTCATTCCCCAGAGACATTACTGAAGGACTTTCCATTCCATTTCTTCATTTCAACATAATAAGCCCAATGATGAGTAATCTTAAAACAACATTCTGTGGCCACATGCCTTGTAAACAGATAGCTTGCTGAAGTGACAAATAGTATGTAACAATCAGAGCCAAATCGAACAGGGGCAGTTATCTGTTGCCATTTGGCAAACTCCTTGAATGTAGTCAGATTTCCGTCTTTTGCCTCCAAACCTTTGCCAGGTTGTTTCAAATGCTGGGAATGTTTTCCTAGTTGCCAAACCACACCTGTCTCTTTTTTAACCACTCAAAATTATTTTTTGTCCAATTAAAAAGATATATTTATTGCAAACATTCTTTGAAAATATATAGTATAATGAAAATTTAAATTACCTTTAAATTCACCACCCAAAGGGGAAAATAACCTTTATGTTACATTTTTATTAATGTTGGAGGTTGCATAGATATAATCTCAAATTCCCAAGATAATTTGCTAAAAGAATTTCATACCTTAAAACCCCCTTTTTCCATTCATGTATAGAATCAGGTTATTCATACTATGCCATGTGTTGGTATGCCATGGGCTTATGGGACAAGCATTTATTTTATACATGTCAGAATAGGAATTAGCTCTACAATATTGAGAATATTAACTACAATGGGGAAATATTAACATATCACAAAACAGCTTACCAAGCTGTCAATTTAGTTGAATTGGTCAACTTCAGTGTAACTTGAAGGAAAAATCGCTTTGCTTTTTATGAGTCAGTTCAATTTGTCTATTTGGTTGCCCTGTTTAAGTTCATCCAATGTTATACCAGGGACTATTGTGCCCAGTATATTGACAAATTCCAGATGGAGATTTCACAAGCATCTGCATGTTAGTGGTTTATCCAGAGATGTCACAAGAGTGTGGAATTACACTGGGAATTTAGCTTGTCATTCATTTGATGGAACCCTCTTCAGAAAAGCATGCAAGGCACCCAAAGTCACCTGACAACTGTTCAGAGGCTTAAGGAAGAATTTAACCCTAAGGACCTACCAGTCCATTAAAAAACAACAACATTATTGTCTCTCATTTAAGACACTGAGAATAACTAGATTTCAAATCACAGCGCCAAAGCAAAACAACCTTCCTTAATTGTGCTGATTCTTTCCTTTCTGTGAGCAACCCCATGACTTAACAGCATTTATTTCATATCAACTTTCTTTCAAGATACTGTTCTTCCCATCATTAGGAGAACATAATCATCATTGACATTATTTCTATGCCTATTAATCTAGAATTTAGCCAAGGGCCAAAAATGTTAAAAAACAACAAACATTCACAGTAACAGTGGTATTGAAGATCTAATTGGCATTTATCTTCCCCATTTCCATCACCACCATCCATTTTCTTAGATGTAAAAACATTATACCCTTTGAGAATCAATGCTGAGTTTTTGTGTCTGATTAGGAGCTATTTTTAAAATTTATTCCCCATTTCCATCTACCTTTTTACTTTGGGGAGCAAAAATGAAGACCTCATGTCAGTCCATGAATTCTACAACTGCGGGACACAATGGGGGAACTCAGCAAGGCCTTCGGGAAAGGCGATGAGCTGATGAGCGCTTAGCACATCACAGTAATGAGCGTGATGATCATGGTGCCTTTCGCACCGTCACAACTTCACATCCAGCTGGTCAGGCAGCTTTCCGCTATTCTCTTTTATCATTTCAAACACAAGAGGACAAGCCCAGAGAAAGAGGAAACCCTATTTCTTGGCATTGTTTTCGTGTCTTTGAAAGTCAATGGCTGTTATCTACAGCCTTACCTACTTGCGGCACATGTGTGATTTTTGTCTCACTGACTGGATTTTAATTTCAAAGGCAGGGACAGTTTCTTGTATTTCTTTTGTTTCTTTAGCTGTGCATCCAACTGGCAAAGAATCATAATAGGTGCTCTACAATGTATAGCAAGGGGCTCAGCCTGAGCCTCCTTCCCATCACATCCCCTATTGAGACCCTCACATGTCTGAGTATGCCTGGCACACAGGAGTGGTGGAAGCTGAGGTCAACATCAAATCCACTAATTTAAATAAATTAATTAAATAAATAAATTTTAGAAAGGGCCTAGAAGCCAGCTGGGAGAGAAAACTCTGAGGGGAAGTGACCAATAAAGGTACACGTGGTTCAGCAACAGGGAGAATAGATAGTCATTCCATTACACAAAACACTAATTCACTGTGTCAGTCTAGTTCCTGTGAGAAGCAGATGCCATGATGGATCTAAATGTGCAAAAGGAAATTGTCGTAGGGGAAATGCCTGTGAGGAAAAATATGGAAAGAGGGGGCAAACGTAGAGAGTCATCAAATAGCAAGAGAAAGAGAGAGAGAGAAAAGGAAGGTTGGGTAGAAACATAGACTGTAGTTCCGTTCTAAGGAAAATCGGAGAAGTCTGTTAGGAAACCTCAAGTCAGAGTCACCTGTGCCTCTAGGGATAAGTCCACCTTCCTATTCCTCCCACATTCAATCATCCACTGAGAGAAGCCCATGGGAGGCATGGCCCCTGTGCAAATGTGATTTCAGGGTCCACCTCAGCTACTGTGCAGTCGGATCCAAGAAGCACATTCTTGTGGCCACCATTCTCACATACGGCCCTCCTACTTCTCTACAGCTTAGAGCCTGGGTTCTAGGAGGAGAGGGAGCTATGGATGAAAATTCCATAACTCTCTTAGCCATTAACCTCAATCAACAGTATGCGATGCTGACCGGGAGGCAGGACCTGCCTCTGCCTGTGCCAGCTCACGGACATCAGCGCATCTGTGGAACCAGCAATGCAATGGCCTTCTGTCGAAGTGTCACAGAGCCTGGCAGAAGCAGCAACACCGATTGAGGTTTATTTGAAGTTTATATTAAGCTATGAAGGCCTTACGTCGCAGCAGAGCTTGAGCTAAAGAGCAAGAAAATGGCAGACACGGCAGATGTGGTCTCCAACCGTGTCCTTGTATGTGAGCACATGTGGGCCGCCCTTTGAAGTCTCTGGAAATAATCAGGAGGAACATGACAGGGGCACGGTCTTGCATAATAGATGCAGCAAGAGCCAGAGCGTGTTGTATTAGCCCTGTTTATAACAAACCATTTTAGTCCTGGCTTTGTGAGGCGACACCTGTTAACGTCATTTGACTTGGAGCCAGTTTATTTTCTCTCCTCTGGAACAAGTATATTTCTGCTCTATAATAAAATTCTGCAAGCAAACAGCTTTCTCTCAGCACATTAAACATAGCTACTGTGGTGGGGGAGGGGGGAGGGAGAGAAGAGACGCAGTCAAAAATATGTTTACTACTAGGCTAATACCATCTGCCTTCAAAACACTCCCAGATTTCAGACTGGCTTTATTTTTCTGATGGGGGAAAAAAAGAATTCAGCCATCTTTTGATGTGCCCTTACCAAACCATTCAGAGAGATTCTAGCCAGACACACCCACTTGAAACATTCTGTTCCTTAGTGAATTGGATCAAGTGTATTTTCAATGAATCTCTCCTAAGAATCTGTCCATCAGAATAACACCATTGCCGTTCCAGCAAGAATAATAAGAACCAGACAAAACTGCTCACTGTTCTCTGTGAACCAGTTCATTTGGCTTTAGCCTCCGGCTCTCAAAGCAGAGAGCACAGCGCCTGTGGAGAATCATGAAATCTATCTCTGCTGCCTGCGAAAGTAACGCGAGAACGGAAGTGCCCAGATGCAGCAATGTGGAAGATTAGCTGGAGGCAAGCTACAGGCTAGGTTTCCTTTTCGATGAG